TGCCCAGAGATGCTGTGGATGCCCCATCCATCCCTGGAAGTGTTCAAGGCCAGATTGGATGGGGCCCTGGGCAGCCTGGTCTAGCATTAGGTGGGAAGGTTGGTTGCCCTGCATGTGGCAGGGGGTTGGAGATTCATGATCCTTGAGGTCCCTTCCAACCCTGGCAATTCTGTGATTCTGCTATTCTGTGTCTTCTCCCTGATGCCAACTGGAAGTGATATCCTTTAGTCTTCAGTATAGCAAACACATTCTGTGACAATGCTTTAAGACAGTCTCCCTTGAGCATTTTAGTTGTGATTGTTTAGTGCTCGTAAAACCAACTGTGGAAGTGCTGCTCTCCTCCCCATTGTGAGGGGATTGCTGTCAGGAACTAACCAGCTATCACAGGCACATCCAGCAAGGAGCTGCCGTGCCAAGATGGGTGTGTGGAGCAGCTGTCTTCCAACCTGTCCAAGCTACTCGTCCCCAGTTTGATGAACGAGTATCAAAAGTTGATACTCTTTTGTGAAACAGTAAATGCGGGTTGAAAAAAGAGGCGATATGACATTCCTGACTGCAGATAAACAACAGCACAGATGCTGGTCACCACCTCAGTAAAAGCTGGACTTGTTAATGATGCAGCTTATCCATCTGTGTTGGGATTTTGTACAGCTGACCTCACCTGCCTTTCATTCCTTGCCATCGCCCCCTTTTTCTTCTAAGGTGAAAAAGGCAGCCTTGGAAGGAAAATGATTTCTCAGAAAGACTTAGAACCACAGCATGCATAAGCTAGTTTTGCTTTTGCAAACAGCTTAATTTCAGATGAAATCAGACCTGATAACTGCTTTAGAAGGAGTTTGAGCACACTTAATTAACAGCTATTGCTAACTCCACACGGTGAGCATCTTGGATGCTGCTTGAAGCTTGCTTGAAAAACAACAGCAAGCCATTGCCCCTTTGGACAGTGGAATTTTGACACTCACCCGTGCGTATCTGTTCATTCCTAGGTGAATCTAGGAACAGCCATGATCAGGTTGAGAGCCTGTAGGATAAAATCAAGGATCAGTCCAGTAAAGGGCATCTATTGGTTGGGATCTGCTGCAGGCCACCTGATCAGGAGGAGGCTGTTGATGAGACCTTCTTGCTTCAGCTGCAGGAGATGTTGTGCTCGAGGGCTATTGGCCTGATGGGGGATTTCAACCACCCAGGTACCTGCTGGGATAGCAGTGGGTGGCAGACAATCCAGGAGATTCCTGGAGTCTGTTAAGGATAATCTCCTGGTCCAAATAATCCAGGTAATAGATGGACCAACCTGAGGTGAAGCCTTACTGGACCTGGTGCTCACCAATGCAAAGGAGAGCATTAGAAGGGTTAAGATTGGAGGCAGCCTGTGCTGTAGTGACATGCCCTGGTGGAGTTTGTTATCTTGAAGAATGGCAAAAAGTGGAGTCAGGACCCTGAACTTCAGGAGAGCAGAATTCTGGCTGCACATTTTCCTCCTGTCCTTTATTGTCAGCTTCCTTTGTGCCCACCACTGATCTGCAGTAAGTAAGGCCTGAGTGTCCAAATGGTGATGCACACAGTCTGGAGAGTATTTTGCAACCTGCCCATGGCCAACCAGATGGTCTCCCTGCCCATTCTGTAGCTGTGGAACTAACAACCTGGATCTTTCTCCCATCCCATTACGTGACCCAGCTCTGGTCTCTGATGGAAAAAGAGATCACAGCATTTAATGGGAACTTCTCTCATCTGTTTGTAATTCTAGATGACTACACTGTTTTTTTTAATCCAGTATTCTGTTCAGACACAGCTTTTGTTCCTGAGGTGGAACCCAGAGGTAAGTTACTGCAAGGACAGAGCCTTTGGGGCTCCCCCCACCCTTCTCTTTTCCTCCCCTCTCCATCTCCTTTCCGTTCTCTTCCCCTCCCTGTCTCCAGACAGTTTCACACATGGATTGTTATGTATCAGCACGGTGCCACTGCAGGCACGCAGCATCTGTGGTTGAGATGCTGCTTTGTGGAAGGGAGAGAAGGGTACCATGGAGTGATCCCTCGTTCCCATCTGGAGATGTATATGGACGTGTTTGACATAAGCTGCTCTGTACTGTTTGTTTACATATGTGAGTGGAGGTGAATGGGATGCAGAGCAGCCTCCATAAGACATCCAGCCTGGGTGCCACAGAGCCCCAACACATCACCCCCCCCAGACTAGAGAGCACCCCAGTTCCGCTGTTCCCAGCGCAGCCCCTGTGGCCCCCCAGCCCGGCCTACATCCCCCTGGCCATGCAAAAGAGATTGAGTCACCCCAAGCCCCACTGGGCACTGCGACTGTCCCTGCTCCCATCCTCCAGCGGATGGCAGCCGTCCCCTTGGGGTATGGGGCAGGGACCACATCCCACACCTGGACAACCACTGCTGCCACCAGCTGTGGCTTTCCAGATTGCTCGTGCAATAATGAATAAAAGAGCTATTTCTTAACTCTGCTGGCTGTGTCACATTCTGCTTAATTATCCCAGAACACATTCACCTTGGCTTCTCTTCAGAGAAAAAAGTTTCCATGCAACACCTGCCTAGTGTGTAAGTCACAGTGACCTCATAGGTATTCAAGATCATAGAGCAGATCTTCCTAGAACAGGTGTTGAGGCAGCTGAGAGATGAAGAAGTGAGCCGGGACAGCCAGCATGGCTGTACCAAGGGCAGATCGTGCCTGATCCACCTGGTGGCCTTTTGTGATGCAGTGTTGGCACTGATGGACAACAGGAGGGCAACTGATGTCATCTCCCTGGTCTTGTGCAAGGCACTTGATGTGGTCCTGCACCACTTCCTTCTCTCTAAGTTCCAGTGCTTAACCACCCCCTCTGTAAAGACATTTTCCCTGATATCCAATCTAAACTCTCCTGGCACAAATTGAGGCCATTTCCCCTCATCCTGTCACCAGTGAGAAGAAACTAGCCCCCAGGCCCCAACACTTGGCCCTACTGAAACTCATACAGTTTGCCTCAGCCCATTGATCCAGTCTGTCCAGGTCTCTCTGCAGTCCCTCAGGCAGATCACCACTCCCTCCCACCTTGGTGTCATCTGCAAACTTACTGAGGGTGCATTCAATGCCCTCATTAAGATGGTTAATAAAGGCGCTAAATAGAAGAGGCCCCAGCACTGAGCCCTGGGGGACACCGCTCATGACTGGCTGCCAACTGGGTTTACTCCATTGGCCACAACTCTTTGGGCCCGGCCATCCAGCCAGTGTTTCATCCAGCAGAGCGTACGCCCATCCAAACTGTGGGCAGCCAGCTTCTCCATGAGGATGTTGTGGGGGACAGTGTCAGAGGCTTTACTGAAGTCCAGGTTGAACACATCAACAGCCTTACCCTCATCCACTAAGCAGGTCGCCTTGTCATAGAATGACATCAGGTTGGTCAAGTGGGATTTACCATTCATATGATCTCAGGAGGCTTTAACCCAACTGCTGGAGGGATATAGAAAAGATATAGAAAGGATATATGAATATGTCATCCCTGTGTCATGGTAAATCATAAGTCCTGTGCATGTTCTACGTTTATTACACCCTCCATCCTTCCCAGAGCTATACACAGAACTCTAGGCAACAGACGTTTTCGTTGTTGGGGGTCCTGCGCCCACCCCGAGGTACTGAGCCAAACTGCCGCCTTCTGTGTGAAACATGAGGAAGAAAAACAATTCTGAATCCATAGCACCTCAAAGTTCCTTCAAGAGCCCCCAACTACTGCCCCGAGCCCTCCAGTCTCCCTGCTGCCCCATAAAAACCTCGGGAGTGCCAGCAACACCTCATGCCTTAGCATGTCTGGTGGATTTCACAAGGATGCACTCATCTCCTGCATCGTGATCATTGGCAAAAATATCCAACCGCGCTGACCCATGCTGGGGGCTCAGTGGTGACATACAGGGAAACCTGCTGTGCTGCAGTGGTGTGCCCAGTGCCTCTGGTTCTGCTGCTGGGCACCACTGGGCGCAGCCTGGCTCTGTCCTCTCTGCACCTCCCTTCAGGGACTGATGGCCGTGCCCAGAATTCCCCTGAGCCTCCTCTTCTGCAGGCTGAGCCGTCTCAGCTTTCCCAGAATCCCATCCCAACCATTTCCCGTGCCTACGTTTGCAGACTGACTGAGGAGGGGAGGGGATTTTGGAGAGAAGGGATGGGGCCGGTGGGGGCAGCCCTGGGACACGGCCCTTTGTGCTGCCCCGTCCTGCTCTGTAGGTGTCTGCAGGGAGTGTGGGGGGGCTTTGGTGCTGCATGAATGACTACAGGTGGAGATGTAGGAAAGTGAATGCAAAAAATTTAATAGTATAACATAATGTAACATAACATAATATAACATAATTGAACAGAATCTAACGGGATTTAACGTAACATAATTTAACACAGTCCCACATTGTCCCAGTCCAAGACGATGTTGGTGGACAGCCCAGGTTTGGAGGGGTAGGGCTGGGGCCAGTGCTGGTGCCCCTGGAGTACTGCCACTGCTCTGTATGTGCCCTGTATGGGCTGGTGAGGAGCCCTGGCTACAGGTAGCCTTATTTGTTGGCCGTGCCTCCTGCTGCACCACGTGGGCCGGTTTCTGAGGACACTCCCAGTCGTGCTGCGTCCACCCAGCTTTGCCTAGCGCCAGCGTTTCTGTCCTGGAGCATCCTGGCCCAGGGGCAGCTTCCTCTTTCTGGTTGTGTTGCTGCCAGCGTGCTGTTTGTGCCCTCTGCTTTTGCCTTTCCTGGTGGTGCAGGCAGGCACTGGGCACTCGGCCGGCTCGGTGCCATCCTCGTAGTCATTGCCTGGCACATGGCAGGAGATACAGCCAGGTGGCAGTGCCAGGCGGGTGAGAACCACCCGGGGCTGCTTCTGCTGCACCTCTTCTATCAGTCGTGTGGTGTGGGGTGAAGGAGGCACGGGAGCATCCAGGGGGGTTGGCAGTGCCAGGCAGGTGAGAACCACCCATGGCTGCCTCTGCTGTGCCTCTTCAATCAGATCCCCACAAGGCAGCGATTTGGAGAGCTGCCCACAGCATGCTGGCTGCCTCCAGAACAGGTCACTGATGGGCCTGGCGTCAGCCTTTGCCTCTCCGCTGAGCTCCGTGCTGGCCCAGGGAAATTCAGAGAGCACTGTGATGAAAGGAGCACTATTGAGGCTACTGGGGACAGCTGGGCTCAGTGGCTGTGTGGCATCAATCCACTGCAGCAGCTCTGCCCTTTCCTGGATGTTCAGTTCTGGCAGCAGCTCATCAGCAGGACCATTTTCCTCTTCCGCAGTCTCAGTGTGTTCGGTCCCCTCTGCTTGGACACCAACCAGGTCCTGGTTCTGCTGGGGGACTTCCAGACGACTTGTCACTTCTGGAAAAGCAAGAATATGATCACAGCATTCCCACAGCCACTCAATGCAGACACCCAACCGCCAGCTCTGCAGCGCCCAGACTCACCGTTGTTGACCCACGTCAGGAGGTCATCCATGTCCAGGATGTCGTCTGGGATCTCTGTGTTGGATGCCACTTCTGGAAAAGGGAAGAAAATCCCCACAGAGGCAATTCCAGCTTTCCCACAGCCACTCAGTGCAAACCCCCCCCTGCCAGCTCTGCTGCCCCCAAACTCACCATTGTTCATCCATGTCAGGAGGTCATCAGTGTCCATGATGTCCTCTGAGATGTCTACGCTCATTGTCCCTGATGGAAAAGCAAGGAAATCCCCAGTGAGGCAATGCCAGCTTTTCAACAGCCAGCTGGTGCGGACAGCCTGCCACCCACTCTGCAGCCCCCAAATTCACCACCTGATTCCAACGCTGAGGTGCTACAGGTGTGTGGAGCCGTGGTGGGACGGGGGGACACGTTGGTGGGTGCTGGATGCCCCTGGTCCTCTGTGTGCACCACGGCATCTCCAAAGGACGCCGCTATCTGCTCCCAGCTGCTGGGCAGGGTGCAGGGCACGGGGAGCACCTGCTGCTGCTCTGAAGGTGCTGGTGGAAGGACAGGGCATCTGGGGGCCTGCAGCGGGCAGCTGCCTGCAGGCGGCGGGGGCTCCCCATGGAACACGGCCCCAGGCCACAGCCCCATTGGCTGCTGGGGCTGCAGCATCCCTGCCAGCAGGGGATGCCCCCAGCAGCAGGCAGGGGCCGTGGGGGGAGCCATGCCTGGGTGCAGCCCCCCAGGTAGGAGCATCAACAGTGGTAATTGCTGCCCCCCAGGTGGCAGCTGAACCACAGTTGGAGGCGGCCCCCCAGGTGGGAGCTGCGCTCCCTGTCCCTGGTCACCTAGTACCCCAGGCCAGACAGAGGCCTGAGGCACCATGTGGGTGCCACTGGGGACAGGGAGGGGTTGCGGTGACACTGGCACTGATCCACCGATGCTGGGCTGCATTGCAGCAGTGGTCGGTGGTGGCACAAAAGATCCAAATACAGCGGCGTCAGGTGTCGGAAGCACCGTCAGCATCCCTGAAGGGGTTCTGTCTGTGGAGAAATGCCCAAATGGGCACTGGGGTGAGATCGGGGGCAGTGGGATCAGCTGGAGGGCCTCAATGCCAGGAGCAGGAGGAGCCTGCTGCCTTACCTGCCAAGGGAGCTTGAGAGTGGCAGCGGGGGGTTCCGTGACTGCTGAGGTCAGCCCCTCTCCCCTGAGCTCACAAGGACTCTCTGTGACACTGTCACAGGCACTGCTCTGTGCCTGCCCTGTCACCAACGCTTGGTGTGGCTGCTCATTGTGGACTTCCTTTGTTTCAAGGGAGATGATAAACATGATGAAAATGAACTTTTTACGTGTTGAGATGGTGATGGGACAAAGGGGAATGGTTTTAATGGGGAGATTTGCATTAAATGTCAGGGAATTTCATCACAGACGGAGCTGAGGCCCTGGCACTGCTGCACAGAGAGGCTGTGGGTGCCCCATCCCTGTAGGTGCACTCGACTCAGCTCCCATTGCAGTGAATGGAAGCAAAAGGAGGGACGTGGCTGATGACACACAAACACGCGACGGCATTGCAGGGCTGCCATGCTTTGACTCTGGAAAGCCACCAAACTTCCACCTGCTGGCTGTCTTCCTTCACACATCCACCTGTCACAGAAACACAGGGGCTGGAAGGGACCTCTGGAGATGAGCGCAGTACAACCTCCCCCCAGAGCAGCTTCCCTGCAGCACTTGTACAGGAGAGTCTGCCTTGAGCTGGGGAACCCAGAACTGACCCAGTGCTGCACATGAGCCCAGTGCTTTCTGCGGCCCTCAGTAGCTTCCCAGAGCCACCAGTCCTGCCCAGTGCCCCCACGTCAACACACCCGATGCTCAGTACGTGACCATCTCCTTCCCCAGGCACAAAACGAGGCGACGGGGGCACTGGCAGCAGCAGCGAGGAGGAGCTGGGGGAGCCGCAGCTCTGGGCTCTCTGCAACCACCCCAACATCCCCCAGCTGCTGGACGCACCCTATGGCACGGGCACCTCTGGGTGTGCGCTGCGTGCACGTGCTCTGCAGCCTGCCTGGTGCAAGCAGGGGGAAGCAGCGCGGCGCCGGCAGAACTGCGGGGAAACCTGCTGTGCTGCAGCGTGAGCCTCCGGCCCTGCTGCTGGGCACCGCCGGGCGCAGCCCGGCTCCGCCCTCTCCGCACCTCCCTGCAGGACCGACGGCCGTGTCCGGGATCCCCCCGAGCCTCCTCTTCTGCCGGCTGAGCCGCCCCGGCTCTCCCAGAATCCCAGCCCAGCCATTTCCCACGCGGCGCTGAGGAGGGGAGGGGATTTGTGGGGGGAGCAACGGGGCCGGCGGTTGCAGTCCTATGACGCGGCCGCTGTGCTACTCTGTCCTTGCACTGAGGTGGGCCCGGGGACGGGGGGGTCTTTGGAGCTGCAGAAATGACTGCAGGCAGAAATGTAGCAAAAGGAATGCTAAACATTTAATCGTTTAACATACAGAGCAATAAACAGAAAAATGACCGTATTCCCAACCAGCTCCCATCCTAACGACGACTCCGGAGAACGGCTCGGTGCAGACGGGGGACAGACGGGGCCGACGGCGGTGCCCCCGCTCCGTCTTCCCCTGACCGCCCGGCGTCCCCCGAGGCACGCCGCTTTCCCCGCACGGAGCTCCGCGGCTGCGTAGCCGCCATTGACAGAGAGCGCCCGCTCGACCCCGCCTTCGCCGCGCTCCCGTCGGTCGGTCCACGGAACGGGGCGGGCGCTCCGTGCGGGGTCCTTTCCGTCCGCGGTCGCGCCGTCATTGCGCCATCACCGCGCGCGTCCCGCGCGGCCCCGGCCCGGTTGCCCGAGGCGACGCCCATCGCCGTGCGCCCGCTCCGCTTCTGGGGCCCTGGGGCGGCCGGGCTCCGGCTGGCGCTGCAGGAGGAGGAGGGCGGGGACGTGGGGGACCGCAGCGAGGCTGAGCCCGCGCCGCCCCGCTCCGTGCGGGACTTCCTGGAGAGCGGCGAGCGCGGGCTGGCGGCTGCCCGCAGGTGGGGGAGCGGGGCGTCCGGGTGGGCGGCGAAGCCCGGCCATGGCGCTGCGGAACTCGCTACAACGAACAGCTCTGCGGGCACTTCGGCATCCCGCTGCAGGCGGCGGTCGCGGTAGTTCGGGTAGTTCGGCCCCGCGTGGATCGTCTTCTCGGGGTCGTCGATGGGCATCAGCAGCCACGCTCACACAAACGTCCAGGCTTTTTCTTTTCTTTCTTGTTCAGCTGCGCTACCAGAAGGGGTGGAGTCTGGCTGCACCGCTCCTGGACCCGATGTAAGGGCTGACTGCCGCTCGGGAAGGATCTCTCTCTGGAGATTGCTCCCCTTGGAGTTTTTTCTGTGAGCCCAGGACACGGGTGAGCATTTTCATTTATTTCCAATTATCCCTTTTCACCATGATAATTTTTCTAGCTATACGATTTGTAGATACCAGCCTAACCACACCACTCAGTATATTTGTTGATTATACAGGGAGTAATACAGATGTTTCAGAGGTACCAGGAGAGAAAGGTATGCTCTCCAGGGCAAGATACAGGCCGTATCCTGGGTCAGCACTTCAACTTGCACTGGGGCATGCCCCAGCCACCATTTGGCCAGATATCTGCAGCTGCATAACTATATCTATATACCAGAGGAGGTGTCCTGATCTGTCATAGGGACATGATAGGGTCCTTTAGTAATAAAGATTGGATTGTTGACCACAATATCAGTAGGCCATGGACCTATTATTGGAGGGACTACCGAGCATCCCACCACCTTATAATTTCACCCAAAGTGCAAGTAGCCAACACCACTTAGGTCCTACCTGTACCTTCCAAGGTGATTTTATTCTATGGGCACCTGGATCTAAATTATGAAGGGCTGGGAGCAGATTATTTTCATTACCAATATGGGATCTTACCTGATGATCAGTGCCTGTAATTTGGATCCTAAGCAGGGAGACAAATGTTGTCTGTAGCATTCTTAGGGCGCTTGGTCTGCCATCTCTAGGTCTTTCATTCAGGTCTCACAGGGTTTTATGGAATCTTTTTGTCCACCCCTGCAGGGACTGAGAGTCTGTCTTTAGGGCAGCTCTAAGAATACCGTTATAACATTCAGTGAGGCCTGCCCCCGTTGGATTATATGGCAGGTGGAATCGCCATTCGATGTTATTTTCTTCTGCCCTGTATCGTTGCACCAGTAAAATGAGTCCCTTGGTCGCTCTCGATGACTTGAGGTGTCCCGTAGGCAGACATCAGTTTAGTCAGTGCCTTGATAGTATATGCCTGGTTTGCTTTTGGCACTGGATAGGCCTGCAGAAGCCCACTTGCAGTGTCAACGCAGGTCAGAGCATATCTCGCCCCCTCAGACCGAGGAAGGGGTCCAGTGTAATTGACCTGCCATCGCTGGAGAGGATTGTGTCCTCTAGCAAGATGGGCTGTTGTTTCCGGCAATGATCTTGGTCTCATCTTGGAGTGAGCGTCGCAGTCTCAGTATCCCTGGGTGATGTCATGTAGCTGTATGGGCAGCCCCTGTGCTTTAGCAGCTGCCTACATTGTCTTTTGTGCAGCATGCTATAGTTTCTGGTGTAACCAATGGACAATGTTCTCAGGCAGTGAATTCTCAATCCATCAACTTGAGACAGTGTGGCCAGCTTTGCCATTTCCTGGTGACTGTAGGGGTTGGTGACCAGAGATGTGGTAGACACGTACAGTCCTGTGTTTACCTGCATTCCATATGTCTCACCACATGTCTTTGCCCCAGATTGGTCAGGCATGGATAGTCCATTCCTAGCTGGGTGGCCTGCTGTGCAATCCAAAGAGTGAGCTTCCGATACACAACCCAACTGTCTGTACAGATATTCAGGATTCCATCACTGGGTTCCTTGGTTATAACCATTCACACGGCTTGCAGTTCTGCCCATTGCTGCTCTGACCATCTCCCTCATCAAACCAGATTGTCTTGGTGGAGGGAGGGTATGCTATCGCTCTCCACTTGCTCGGGTTGCCCTTGCTGGACCCATCTGTGTACCAGGCATCTTCAGGGATAGGATATTTCCCCTCCTGAACGGGACTCTTCTCTGGTGGAGCGACCAATGTTTCTTTTGGTGCATTGCTGTGATATGTCACTGGGTCAAGGATCTTCTGAAGTTCTTCTTTTAATGGAGATGAAGATAGATTACTCCTCTCTCTGGCTGAGATAGATGATTCATCATGCCACTGTTTGTGTTTGGGCCACCCCCTTCTCAGGAAGGTGGGTCAGATCTTTCACCTACCCCTGAATTGGCAGTGGTCTTCACTAAGATTTGAGCCGTTTAAGTTTTCGGCTCTACTGCCATGCAGTGTAGGCAGCCGATAACTGTATTTCAATCATACTGTATCTTTCTTCTGCTCTGTGCCAGACTTGAGACCAGAATCCAGTGCGGGTCTGAACAGAACTCTGGCGTTGCCGCAGGCCCTAACCAAAGCCGTCCTGAATGACATGAACATCCAATTCAGCTGGGAGAGTAGAATCAAATATACCCAATGCCTGGGCTTGTTTAACTGTCAGTTTTGCCTGTTGGAAAGCATCCTGTTCCATTCTCCACAGTCCCATAGCTGCCCCCTCTTCGTAAGTCTGTACAGTGGCCTCAGCACTGTGCTAAATGAGGTATAAAGGAGCACCAGTACCCCAATATACCTAAAAACTCCTGCAGCTGCTTTCTTGTTGTAGGGACTGGGAATCCTGAACCTTATCTATTACAGCACTGGGTAGTACTTTGGTCTTCCCTGACCCAAGGAATTTTACGGACAGGCCCGTAAAATTGCACCTTCTGAGGATTCATAGCCCATCCTCTTTCCTGCAGATAAGTAGTTAATGAATCTGCTGCTTGTCCTACCGCCTCCAATGAGTTGGATGTCAACATGAGATCATCAGTGTAATGATATAAGTTGACATTGTCAGGTTTTCCCCAATTAGCCAGGTCACTTGCCACTAGATTATGACAGTATGTTGGCAAATGCACGTACCCTTGTGGGAGGACCTGAAAGGTCCGCTGCCTATCCCAGTGAAGCGCAAACTGACCTTGAGATTCTTCTGTTCTTCCCCCTTAGA